TTAAAAGATAGAAATATTTTTTGTCTATTCTGCTTTCATTGGAAGAACCGCTGTGCAAAATTTAAATATATTGCAATTGGATGTTTGACTTATTTTCCTGGATTCTCGATCTATCTTGGATTGCTGTTTTCAATCACTCGGAAGRAATATCGAAAGTAGGAATGCAAAAATTAACCAAAATAAAAACAATAACTGAACATAAAAACACTAACGTTGCATCATCCATGTTTCCCGAGCTGTCATTTACGTCTTTATGAGATCTAAACAAAAAKGAATTAGCGTTTGAGTAGTTAAGTGGTTTGTAAGACAATCGCTTGAATTGCAAAAGAATTCTCTCAATTGAAGCAATCAAAGTCAGCCAAATTACCTTGACATGATAACGAGGYGGTTGAACTCAGTAACCGAGCCGCTAACTTATGAAATCAGAAAAAATGGTAACCAGGCCTAATGGATGAGAATGAGGTTGTTAGATGGCTACCAAGTCTCTTTTTATAGAAAAAAAAGCCAAAAAGCCAAAACTAAATAGTCCAGTTTCGAGCTTTAAATTACCACTGTGTTTCTTGATTACAGACTCATTTACTCAGGCTTAGCCTCGATTTTTGTGAAGAATATTCACGTGTTCCAGTCAAGGTCCGTCAAGTTTCAAAGTGTTTGTATTGTTAAAGTTGTGCATTCTTTACTTTATCGTTGGTATTTGCGAGTAATTAGACACTGATTCGAGGCTAAGCCTAAGTAAATGAGTCTGTAATCAAGAAACACAGCGGTAATTTGGAAYTCGAAAAGGGTCTATTCTTATGGCTATGGGCGAAACTGAGGCAGTTGAGCAAAGTCTGTTTATAACGAAAACGAACTAGCTGTTAACCAGGTCTATGAAATGAAGCAAATCAGTCAAGGTGAGTGCGTGGTAGGATGAGTAACCAGGTAAATGAAACAAAACGAGGCAGTGAAGTCGAGTGTTTGGTGAGTTAAGTTACGAGGTCTGTGGATTAAAGCGAGGCAATCAAGGTGAGTGTGTGGTGAGCTGTGTAACCAGGTCTATGAATGAAAGCGAGGCAGTCCAGCTGAGATTATAGATATGAAAATAAGCTGAGTAACCAGGTCTAGTGATGAAAGTGAGGTATGCCAGTCAAGATTAATATATGCATGTAAATGAGCTAAGTAACCAGGTCGTTGGATGAATTTGATGACGTCAAGCTTAGTAACCGGGCCTATTATAAGAAGCTTGGTAACCAATCTTGCTATTATTGAAACTAATATCACTTGGCCTTTTTTGCTCTAAATATTTAATGATAATGGAATGATATATTCGCTTTCTGGAGTCAATTTTCGAAAGGCCGAGCTCAACCTCACTTTCATACTAAGGCTTAGTTACCTTTCAAAATGGCGCCGTAAATGAAARTAGAAAAGCATTTTCTTTCAATTATTCAAGCGACTGAATACAAACCAAAGCCAAAGCTGCTGATATATTGTTAATAGTATTAGCCAAGCATAGCCATGCATATCGTTAGTACATACAAAATTATATATTAAAAGACAATAAAACAACAATACAAACAAACAAACAAATATATATATGACCCACGGGTCACAAACGAATACAAATCTATTTATTCCCAAGAGAATGATTAGGCTTTGAATGCAAGGATAGATTTGATAAAAACTGACGTTTTGGCTATAATCTGTGCGGATAGCCTTGATATCGGAATTCCTATAATGAATTTCTGATCAAGGCTATAGCCAAAACTTCATGTTTTATCAAATCTACGCGTTTAATCAGAAATTCTTACATTCAAAATTATGTCAAAATGCTAAAGCCTCAAAGAGAATAAATATCTCTTTTTAAGCCTGCACATGGCATCCTGATGTAACGCTGTACGTATAGGGAAAAATCTARTATAAGCCAACATGACTGCCGCTTGAGAAAAGCCGGTCATGATATATAGTTGTCTTAAGCGACGTAAGTTCTAATCGCTAGTTTCGTGAATAGAATCATGGCGACTCTGAAAGAGTAATCTYTACGATTTCAGCTCATCGATCTTCTTGATATCTATAGGATTAAAGGTTTATGATTTTGACATTTATTATTGATCGCATACTGACTAGTTAATGGCGTGCTGCTCAAGGCAAGTCTATTTTCATTATCGAATATTTGTGTCTAAAGACCGCAATTACAAATTGCTTAAGCTCTTAGACAGCTGACTGTAGACTAGGGAAAAAAGACTAAGAGTTTCATCGTTGTCGATGGTAAATAAGTTATGACATTGGTTTCACTTGAAAAGCTTGTCGTATTTATTAGGACAATTAGCGAAGGACAGGAATTAAGGAGGGAGGGAGGGAGGGAGGGAGGGAAGTAGCGAGGAGAGGGGAGTTGAACGATGAACCAGTCTACACTCTAGTTTTATTTTCCCCCTCCTTCCATTCCTTCCTGCTTTCCTTCCTTCCACTTCTTTCTTTCTTCATTTCTTCCTTTCTTATTTTGTTTCCGCTATTAGCTCCTTATACTGTAAGACGACGCTTAATCAATACTGATTAATACAAAATTGTGAAGATCTAGCCTGCTCACAATCCCCTTATCAATCTTTTACGTCTCAGAAAAAGCTACGCTATAGAAATATCTGGTTTTCGCTAACCACACAAGTACAAACATAGCACAAGAGTTCTTATTTCAATGTAAAGATACGCTCGACGCACAGAAGCACAAGAAATGGGGAAAAATGCATCATAGGATTTCCCGACCGTTGAAAACAGGAAAAAATAGAAATGACAATGAATATAGATGCCTCGAAGTGTGGCACACCACTGTGATATAAAGTGGAAAAGGTAAACTTGTCAAAGTCGTAAAATTTAAACCCATCTTTTAAAAGAATGTCGTTTGTCTAATCTATACAGTTTTATAGTCGTGGCTGTAAGTCTGACCTACATAATTACTACTGTAATATTACTTTATAAATTTAGATTGTCTTGCATTTTCAGATCACAGACAGTTTGTTTTACCAAGTCTGCTAATCTAAACAAACTTTTAGCACATTAAAATTTAAAGAGCAGCAGCGTTCAATTAGTCTTTGCACTTAGATGAAAACACTGTCTATCCCTGAGAAAGGGGAAGTTAAGGTTGCGTTCAGACTTTCTCATAATGAGTTTCAAGTCGTTTACATTTTCTTAAGGTGTTTTGAACCAAGTGTCTAAAAAGTCAAATGGAACAAACGGTTCTCTTTCCATTTCCTTAAATTTTCATTCAATTCAAAATTATTAATCTTTAGTATAASTATACAGGYGATTATTGAAAATCTCGCGCCTGATTGGTCGAGAAACTCAGATTATCACACGATAATCACCTCCAGCGATAATACAAAATGGCGGCCAACCGCTTTGTTGCTGTTACCAGGAAAAAATGTGTCTTTTATCTTCTTTTTTTTCTTCATTTTTTGAAAGAATCACCTGTGATTTTTTACTAAAAAAAATTATTCATCTCAGGCTCAGTGAATATCGGGAATAATAACCTCAACTTCGTTTCGGTTATTATTTCCCGATATTCACTTCGCCTTCGGCGAATAATTGTTAATCATTCCTTCGTACAGCGTTTTTATGCATTGAAACTTGTCAAAATCGACCAAATGTCAAAAATTAGGCTTATGACTGTGTTAATCTGTTGCTCGGGTTTTAAATATTCTACATTAAATTTATCGTTAAAAATCATGAATCATATGCAATTTATAGAAAAAAAAGAGAAAGAGAGAGATAGCTAAATTATAACTTAAAAGATACGAAAATCAAAGTACCAGACGCACCCGATACTAAGGTGAAGATAACGAAGAAATGCGAGTATATTTTCGTTACTATGGAGATGCGTAAAACCATGTGTCACTATAGCAACGTTAATCGAATAAATAAAAAGGTGSCCATATTGAATTAGGTTTTGAAAGAGTTCAATACGATTAACACAAGAATATTCAAGCTTCGCTATCTTGAACACAGTTTTAAAATTTACTTTCCGTTGCGTCAATTATTTTTTCGATTTTTTCTTTAGTTTATGAAATAAAAGCGATGGGTTTTCAGTATCCCTGGTCAGTGACAGCGGATGCTCTAAAATAATGCAATATTTCGATTCATTTTCGTAGACGGACGACTGATCCACTTGGTAAACATTTGCCATCTTTTTTGGTTAAAAGTATTACACAATTAACATATCGTATTATTCGAGGTGTTGATCTTTCGTTTTATTTCTATTTCACAAAATTCTCAAAGCGAACGAGATTTTACTACGAACTAGGAACTGAAACTATGTATCGAGTAAACGTTTGGTCMACTAAATATACTTAAAACACTCTCTGCAGTACTGCAGTTCTTAACGTTTAATGTCTTCTAAATATTGAATTTTGCTTCATAATTTATCCCAACAGTGTATGATATCAATTTGGCATACATTTACAACCAAAATCTATTTAGTAAACGAAGCTCTAATTCGCATAATAACCAGAAATTCTCCCTCGAAGAAATGAAAAATTAGCTAAAAATATATTGGCAGCGACTTCTAGAAGAAAGTCTGTATTTCCGAACTGATGGTTATAATTACTAACTGTAAAAGTAAACAAAATTTTCAAGTTAGACTAATACGAAAAAAGAAGAACTTAAATTCTCAAGCTTTCAATTTTAGCACTATCWTTCAAGTCCCTTCTTACGATAGAGATTTTGGTCTATAACTGATCGAAATTCCACGAACAATTAACACTGAAARGCATAGAGCTCTTAAAGCAGTAAAGTAGCGATAAATATAGGCAGTGCAAAATGAAAGAACGGATCGCGAAAACATTAAGGAGAAATCGTTAATGATGTTGATAAACAAAAATACGCAAATGCTGTAAAAATGCCGGACATTTTCATTTGACAATTTGCATTTCATCATCCGATTTGAGGTATTTCAATCGATTCTCCCTCAGTTTGACATTTTGAAGGAATAAAATTATTTTAAGTTAACAATTTATGAATCGCCAGCAAGATCCATGTTTATTTCTGACACTCAATTCATGTTAGGTTTCCTGATATTCGGTTTTAATTTTACTCAAAAGCGCCAAACAAATTATGCTATCGGCTTCTGAGGTCGGATGGTTTCCGAGGGAAAACGCTTCAAAAATCTCGTAATTTTTATGAGTTTTGGAGGGCCAAATTTCCTGAAAATCTAGCAATCCTATTGCAAAATAAAGGTAAACAAGGTATGAATTACAGGTTACACGGATATATCTCGCATGAAGAAAGTTCACGCATTTTCACGACACTAAATTTTAGATTTACTTAGGTACCTTGGATGGTTAGCTAGCTGATGTGGAAGAGGAGGAAATAACCTTGGAACACCAAACGCAGTCCGATTCCCTGTAGATCGTCCACTATTCGCCATTCTCAGTCAAACCTGACTTTTCTCTTTCTAAAACTTACTGTCGTATGCATAAATTATATATGTAAATGAGCGAGCAGCTGAAACCCGCGTTTACTAGACGCGGCCAACGAAAAGACCTTGCGTAGTCTGGTAACCAATCAGAAACGTAAAAACAACTAAATGACAGGTGCTTGGAGCTTAGGAATAAATTAAGTTCAACTCAATCGAAATATATAAATGGCCGGCAAGGATGGAAAGTCACCTTTTTTGAAAAGAAAAAAGAGGTCATTATTAGGTAATTTTCCGATCGAAAGTTAATATAAAACAAAGCAAAACGATTGTAGTTTATAAATCGTAAAAAAACATTTAGCATTAAATCTGTTTTTCTGTGATTCAGTAGAGTTTTGACCAAAAAAAACATCGATTTAATAGAGCTTTTTTTCATCAGTTTTTCGTCATAGGAATAGGAAAATTTTTTCATCGCCGAAAATAGCATTAAGAATTATTTGTTTTGTTTTTAGACATCGATAACAATGAAGTAGTGTTGGTCGCGATGATATCAGTTACAGCGATAAAACCACAATATCATGTTTTTGATTGATTTTTATTGTCAAAACCTCGCTGTACGTATGATAACGTCAGGAATTAACTAAAATATAACTAGGGACTTGACTGATTAAAAACAGAGAAAAAATAGTAATATTATATAATTTAAGTGTAATCTATAGACAAATTCAAAAACAGAAAAACATTTTCCCAAAATAAATAAAAGATTATAYTTAAGTTTTTTAGCTTTAGGAAGATTTAATAATTGATAGCTTTTGGCACGACATGGCKTGTTATCTTTCAAATATTCTCAGAAGGATGAATCATTTGTTTCTTCATTATTTTCTACTTATAACTGCATGATTCTTAGATGGAGTTTTCGCGAATTTTGATCACCKGATTAATTTCAAGATTCTTTGGGATGCTTTGATTAGCGGAAGATAATTGTGGATTTTTTTGTGATTCCTTACCTGTTTTACCATAAACGGGGAATAATAATCACGTTTACGCCATATGTGGGAAAATGTGGGAAAGGCTAAGACCAAGAGAAAATATGATGGTTATTTTTTCTCTTGCTACGACTTTTTAAGGACAAATTTGAAGATTGTTTTGATTTGGACTTAATGGCTGATTGATACTTAGACTAATTGGTGGCAATTTGCAATTGGTATTGTTCTTGATTGCACATTAGATCATGAGTGATAGTGACGGAGTTTGTCTTTGACGCCCTGGGCTCCCACTTTTTAAAAAATTAACAAAAATCAATTCAGTRAAAAAATAACCCAAATCTATGCATATCATAAAAGAATTAATTCCTCTACGTTTAGCGTCCCAAAATAATGCGCAAATGCGCCCAATAGCTGTATTGTGCACAATTGCTGTGCATGCGCACACTTCAAGCAAGTTTACAATCAAGGTTGGTGCACAGGTAGCCCAAGCTTGGTTTCTGTGGTGTCATTTTATAAGAAAATGTATGGGGATTCATCAAAAATTTCAATAAAATCATTGAAACGTGAAATAAAGCCTCGACATTTTACCCGATCATTGAGAAATAGCACTTCTTTCGCTCTGTGTAGTTATTTTTTGAATTTAGCYCGTTTTAAGGATTTTTTCCCCCACCAAGCTTGGGCTACCTGTGGTTGGTGTAAATCGTATTGCATTTGCCTCTCCCCTCTGGGGTCGAGGTTTGATTTCCAGACTTCCTATCACGTGTTAGTAGAGTTTGTGAGGTTTCTCTCTCGATTTGAATAGTCGTACCCTAGATAGATCAATCCAGAGGTTGTTTTAAAGGTTCGATAAAGCTTGAAACTCTATCCGGCACTGTGCCCAACATCGCATCTAGTGTTCACTCTCTAGCATTAATTTAACCCGGTTGGGGTTGCGTACCTTTTAGGGGTCATTTTCAAAATCGAGCGCCGATCACACCTTCCCCATTTGAAAAAAAGAGATCCCCCGGGGTAATTTAGTTAACCAACATCCTAGAGGAATCTAATTATTGTACCGCACGGACTAAGACATACAATACGATATGTTTGTAGACACAGGCATTTTTAATAAAGATCAAAACGTCACGTTCAAAGACTGTCGGCTATCAAATATTKTTTAAGCCGGAACTCAATATGAAACGAGTTAAGTGAGCAGCTATTATTTGGAATCTACGCGCCCAATGTTTGTCATAGCGATAAAATAGAAAAGTATTTTCTATTATCTCCATCACGCATCATTTGAAATTTTTGTATTTATATATACATTTATTTCTCAATTGACACGGTTTTCTTTGTTATTCACAAGGCTTTATTTTTGTTATAATCCTCATTATAAATGCGAGATCAATATATAGTTATTAACCCGAATAAATAACTATATATAGACCGTTCGCATTTATAATGAAGCAACATTTGACAGAAAACCTTCTCAATTGATAAATAAAATACTTAATTACCTCGAACGTCGGCAATAAGCCTATACATCCCTTGGGCCTGCGGCGGGCCCTCGGGATGTATATTATTGCCTCCGTTCTCGGTAATTAACTCTTACTTAACAGATTCAGCATTTTTGGCAACCTTGCGATTAGATGCATCATCAAAATCATCATCATATATCATAATCATCACGTCATTATTATCACCATCATCATCATCATNTCATCACTATCATCATCATCATCATCACCATCATCATCATCATCATCACCATCATCATCATCATCATCACCATCAACATCACCATCGATCATCATTAACCACAGGCAACTGGCACACACAACTTTTTAAAGTTTAAGGGAGGACTGCAAGTTCGTAACTTTAGCTAGATCCAATTGAATCACACAGATTTATTGGTAAACTGTTCCTTCGTGCTCATGTGAAGCCTACCTTGTCATTATTTCTAAGTGTTGGAATTTTTTTATTCACGTTTTTTCAAATATAGTACGGCAAATTTTAAATCACCATACATTCGCTTATAAMTGTAGTGAGCTTGGGTTGCCTRCCTGTGCGTTAACAACAACATCGATCATCATCATCACCCGAAATACTATGTGTATATAACTGGCTATTTATCAATGAAAACTAAACTTAAAAATAATGAATAAATTATGTCGTAAAAACAGTAATATTTTATCTGCAGGTCTTCACCAACACTTCCATAAAAAATGCAAATTGCAAATACAAAACTTTAAATTATGTATTTAGCGTTCGACGCCTTAAAAAATATWCCCTTCAAAAAATCTCAAGCATTCTCCTTCGCCTAATATTGATATTTTTTCTTGGAATGAAAAAGTCCATAAGCTAGCTGTAAGTAATAAGCTCTTTTAATYTATTCCTTCGGGAAATGAAATAGTATAGTAAATAGTATAATATAAACGAGGTAAATATATATGACGATATTTACTTATACCCGACAAAGAATGTTATGTACACACGGTCTRAGTACCTTTCTCGAAACATCTTGGTTCCTGAATTCGATCGGAATACGATCCTCAGCGCCTCTTGAACGATGAAATGAAGCTTTTCTTGAATACGAACTTCGAAAGGACAAAGAATATTTTATGTYGACAGCAGGAGTCAAGCCCTTCGACGTTTATGAATATTTTACCATAAAACTGAATAAACGAGGAATAGTTATTTTTATCTGAAGATTTGCTGAAATCATGTACTGTTGCGTGAACAAGTAGAATGACAGCTGTCAATCATACAGCAAATACTAACCAACATGCAATACTATTGGACAAACTAGGAATACAGTCAAAGTATATCTGACATGATCGTAAAAGAAAAAAATTYATATCATTTTAGCTTTTTTTAAAACGACCAATATTATATATTGTGATATATTCAAAGTTATTTTCATGTAAAATTTATCTTATCTGATAGGGCAGCTGTAGGAAAATTTTAAACGTAACATATAGATTCTTAATGATTTTACTTGTATTCGGATCGTTTTCCGTATAGTTTTCCGTTATTTTTAACGAATTTCACCTATGCCCTCTCAGAATTACAATAAAAACGGTTTGGTCAATTAATATCATTGAGAAAGCCGATTTCCTTAGGCTAGTGTTTGAGTCTGTTTGCTATGGCAACCAAGAGAACACTCATTTTGCCACAGCTGGGGAGAAATTAGAAGTTATCATTTTTACTACTTTAAAATCACAAATCCTCTTACCTCGAAAAGTATGTTAAATGGTGATTATCTTTTTCTTTTTTTTTTTTTTTTTTTTTTTTTTTTTT